AACTAATTCATCTTATTTTTTGTGAATTTTAGGAGTGCTGAGCACTACTTGCGCCTTTCGAAAACTGGGAACGGGTGTTCATTTTTCGACGATAATCAAAAGTTTAGTTTGATTAGCATGGAAGAAGGATATCTTCGTTGGTTTTTACGACCGAACCCAGAAAGTTTTGAAAAATTTGACGAACATTCTTTCCTTGTGACTGTTTTAAACAATGATATTTATCTGCTGTCGTCTGATCTTACATTCATCAAGTTGAAAGTTTTTAACAGCGATAAAGAACTTAAGTTAGATTATCGATATAAATCATTGAATAAGAAGTGGGAATTCAAAAATCTGATTCTAACTTCAAGCCAGGCTAATGATGATCGAGTTATTTTGGTTGATAAAGCCTCTAAGGATTTCATTTGTTTCAATGTCAACACTTCAGACTGGAGCTCAATCGGTCGTCTGATTAATTGCTATTCTCCTGAGGATTCCAAAAAGCTGTTTTCTTTCACTTCAGCTTTTTTATCTTTAAATACAATAGAACTTGCTTGAGCTATAAACTTGATTCAAAAATTGGTTTTTTCGCTATCACAAATACCCATATACTGAGTACAATGTCCTAATTAGACTTTTCAATCAAAAGTCACCTAAATTTTTCTTTTTCTTACAAATTAAGAAATTTGCTCATTCAGATAATAAAATTGAAGTTCGATGTTCGCCAAAAACATTTCAATAAGATTGAGCTTCCAAAATTGGATGAAGAATATGAATTCAAATACGAAAATTTGTTTGCAACTTCAAGTGTAGAGCATTCTGATCGAGTTTTTTTTATCGATGGATCCTCGGAAAAGCCTGTTGTTTCAATTTTACTAATCAAGAATATTATTAATATTAGGTTGTCCAAAACAAAATTAGGCCTCGGAATATTAAGATAACTGACGAGTGATTATATCACTATATATACGAGTGACTGCGAAAAATTACGACCTTAATCCGCTTCTCTAAATTATTCTGATACTCCGTGAGTTTTTCGCTAAATTTTACGAATTTGAATAACTGACAAATTCAGCTTAGAGTCTTGCTAAATTTGAGATTTTGTTGATACTTGAAATGTGATTGAATTGATTCTGAATCGAACAAAGAAACGTGAGATTAAGAAGAGGCTAACGTTTTAACTCAATATAAACACTTGTGAACCCTCTTCTTGTTTCCATCTACACTGGTAGCTGCACTTAACGCAACAAATTGGGGTTTCAGTTAACGCAATTTTTAGGTGTCGCCATCTTTGGTATTTTATTGTTTTAGAGACTTTACAATGTAATTAATGCTCGACCTTGAAGATAATTGTATGATCTAATAGATGGCGACTATGGTAAAAATTGACCCATTTGTTGCGTTAACTGCAGCTACCAGTGTATTCCTTCATTATTCAACTATTACTCAAAAGCCAATTAATAGAGAGAATCGAATTACAAGTTTTTAAGTTTAAATAACTGCATAAGATTAACTAATGGTTGTTTGCAAGGTTTCAATCTCACCCACGTTAATTAAGAAAGCAATTATCTTGAGAAGAAGAGTTATCATTTTACAAATCATGTTAAACAAGTTAACAATTAAACTGTTATGAGTTTCTAGCAAAGAGAAAAGTTAACTTCAAAGAACGATTTCAAAATTTTTAATTAATTAACAAGAGATTGCGTTTATGCAATCATAAAATATTTGTAAGTTCAGTGTACGAGATTGAATCATCTGTAGTGCTGGGCGACTACAGTAGGGTCTCTCTTAGTCTAACGCCTTTAGCCTTGATTCTTGTCTTTTTTTATTTTTTGTTTTTGCTCTGTTTATGCGAATAATGCTGTGGCCTCCTAGCTAAAAGGGGATTTAGAAAGATTAAAGAATTTCGATGTTTGCTACAGCCAGAAAATATCGATAAAATCGCTCAGCACTAATCATCTGTTATACTCAAACCTTTTAATTTATTTAGCTTTATTTCAAGAAAATTTACAATTCTGTGTAAAAACTCGAATAAATGCGATTCATTACAAATTGTTTATTATGCTGAATCTTTCACAAACTGATTGGGCAGTAGAGTTTATTGAATAGAACCTAACATAATTGATGCAACCTAAACGGTTGACATTGGGTCAAATCGATACTTTTAACTCAAGTTTTACTCTGTTTAACCGGTATAATACTTTTGGTTATTTCAGCAAGTGAATAAATCAGACGATAAACCGGTCTTTTGACTGGAAATGACGTGAAATGAAAGCTTTCACTGATTGGCTCAAATGGCTGGCTCCGGAAACAACCTACTCTAAGCTCCAATCAGACGAGTTAGTCTTGTTAGTTTACCATCTGCAAACCTTATCTCTAAAATTGTCTCCAAGTTTCTTTAACGCTTAAGCTATTTGAAGCTTCACTAATTCTTTAGTGTCTATCTAATTGTTCCGTCTAAGTTATTCGTACACTTCACCATTGAATTAATACGTGTGTTTAACATGGATAGTTTAAAAAATGATGATAAACTTACAGTTCTTAATCGATCATCGCAATATCGTATTAGTAAAAAACTAATTCGTAAAGTGCCTTATTTTGGAAAGATGTTGAGCCATGAATGTTTGGAATCAAAGGAAAACAAAGTTGAACTGGATTTTGATGAACAAGCCTTGAAATTGATCTTCCATTGGATTGAACACGGTTATATATTCATCGAGATGGATTGTGTGATAAATTTGTGCACTATTGCTGACTATTTTGGGATGGACAATCATTTGAAAGATCAATGTTCAAAACATTTCCATGATAACTTTTCAATTGAACATTTGCCTGTTGTTATACCTCAAGTGACCTCCACATCTAAGTTGATCGATTCTGGTAAACTTGATGCTTTCATTTGCCGCTATTTCACAAAAATAGTGAACACATCTGTTTGGTTGGATTATCCAATTGAGACGATTGAATATATTTGTGCCTTGAATCTAATGATTTATTCAGAAGTGCAAGTTTTCGATGCAATCATCAGATGGGTCGAATTCAAGAAAGATCCTAGAAAATCATATCTTAAAGGATTGTTGAACTCTATTCGATGGTGTCATTTAGAAGATAAAGATTTGGCTCAATTGAAGGAAAATAAATACGTTAAATCTGCTAACTTTAAGCCGAAATTATGTTCTCGTGAAGCATCTGGTTGTAATTGCAGTATTGATCGAACTAAACAGAACTATTTTATTGCTATTGAAAAATTGGACGATACAGATTTGCAAGTCAAAGTACTTGACAAAAATTTTATGTTATTGGTTAATCAAGTAATTCAATCAGATAAATCTTTGCCTTTGCATCCTATCCATGATGAACATATCTCTGATATATTCTTTGATTCTGGAAGGAAAATGATCCGAATCGATTGGAAGCAGAAAAGATATCGTATGCATACAAGTTTCAAGAATTTTAAATCGTATTATCTTAAAATGAATAAACTCATTTTTGACGATCAGAAAAGGCAAGTAATCGATTCCTTAATTGTTATTTTCATTATCAAACGTCAAAATTCAATTGTACTACAATTATACTGTAAAGTACCCGGTTAAAGCAATTTGTATTTCCCAGTCTCCATCTAGCAATGATGCCTCTCAGAAAGTGGCAGCGCTTAAGATTTAGGTAATGAAAGTATCATATTAATTATAAATCAATGCAAATTGCTTTAAATGGGTACTTTACAGCATATGTATTTCTTTGCATTGCATGGGACTCTAATGATTAGAGTCATTTTCAGTTATGCAGGTGCAAAGTAATTTCAAATTGTATCAGCATTATTTGTATTCTTGAATAATTATTTTAAATCATTTTTTCTTTGCAAATTTCAGTGAGGAGCAATATATTGTCCCCACCAATTGGTTGAAGGGAAATGGAAATGGAAATGGAAATGGAAATGATTTGGTCATTCCAGATCACGGCTATGAAGGATCACTTCTCGAAGCTAACGATAAGTTCATTCTGGTTCGTAACTATGCAAACCAATTTAAATACTGGACAACGCCAACTGTTGAAAATATGGAGTCTCATCTCACTTTGCGTACTCACACATACGTGGCAACTATTTTGGATAACTATATTTACATGCTGACAAAGGAATTTGAATTCATTCAGTTCAACATTGACCGCAAGTGGTTTGACTGGAAGTTGTTTGAAAGGATTGGACTCGAAAAAATTAAAGATAAATTGAACTTCAGTTCATTGCTATTAACTTCTAGCAAAGCTAATGAAGAAGATAAAGTTATTATTATTGACAGGTATACAAAAGCCTTCTTTTGCTATCATGTTAAAACTAAAAAATGGAGTTCAATGGGTAGCATTGTTGATAGCGGATCAGATGGTCAAAAAGATCTCATAACTTTCACCTCAACATTTCTTTCGATCGACGCTATTAAAGCTTGCATCAACCTGAGCTAAAATTAATGAATTGCTTTCTGATAATATAATTTTGCATTGTAAATTAAATACACTAATTTCAGGGAATCCTGCCATCTTCTTTAACAACAAATATTCGAAATTATTTTTGCAAATAAATATCGATGAAACTAATTTTTATAATCAGTGATTTTGTTTCTTCTATTAAATTCTGTGACAGCATTAGGTTGTTATTATGATCATTCTGGCTATTAGTAAACACTTATGATCATTTGTGATCACGGACAATTGTTCGGACAATTATTACTGTACTTAAGATTTTCATGGTTGTAAATATTGTAAATAATTTTCAACTGACCAAGTAATAATAAAATGTAAATATATGTTAGAATATAAATTTTAATGTTTAGTTCTACTATACTAATAGTGCACCCAAATTACTTACAAATGTTAATTGAGGTTAAAGCTTGTAATTCAGACGATAACTTTTAAACTGGTGAAAATAGCTAACATGAAAGTAAAAACAACAACGTTCACTGATTGGCTATTGTGAGTTTAAATTAGCTCTAGTCTCATTGGAGCCTTGAAGAGTCTCCAATGGAGACAGACATGTGTTAGACTGACCAGAAAGTATTACTCTTTGAGACTGACTCTTTTGAATCAAATTGACTGTAGTTTTTCATATTAAAAGTTGGGAAATTTTTATTTGCATTTGTGCTTAACTCTGAATACAATAAAAACTCAGGCTTGAAACGGAATTACTTAACACCGTGTAATGATGCTATAACATTTATCTTGGTAGTGATAGCCTTAGTGAACCTCAGATAAGAGCCGTCTGTTAACCTTTTTCTCTAGTGACTGACAAATTTTTGAGTACCTAGTATATCAAAAACTCAACTTTATTTTTAAAAGTGTGTTAATATGGATTCATTAGAAAGTGATGATCAACTAACAATAATTAATAGATCAACAGAACATCGTATTAGTAAAAAACTAATTCGTAGAATACCTTATTTTGATAAGATGCTGAGCCATGAATGTTTGGAATCCAAGGAAAACAAAGTTGTATTGGATTTTGATGAAAAGACTTTCAAAATGATTCTCGATTGGATTGAAATGGGTCTTATGTACATTAAGATGGATAACGTAATCAATCTGTGTAACATGGCTGATTATTTTGGAATCAACGATGATTTGGTAAAGGACTGTGTCACCTACTTTCATGAAAATTTTCGCATTTCAAATCTTCCAGTTATTATTCCTCAAGTGACTTCGACTTCTAAATTGGTCAATTCGAGTGCTCTGAATGCTTTCATCTGTCGCCATTTTCTGAAAATTGTCAAGCCGGCCTTTTGGTGGGATTTTCCCTTCGAAACAATTGATTACATTTGTAAGCTCGACCTGATGATTGATTCAGAGATTACAGTTTTCGATGCAACTATGGAATGGGTAATGAAATGGGACCATTACTCTAAAAAGTCACATGTTAAAGTATTGCTAAATTCATTCCGATGGTGTCATATGGAATCTAAACATTTAACTAAAGTAAAGGAAAATACACTCATCAAATATGAAGGCTTTGAACCAATATTATGCTCCCCTAGAGATGTTGATTGTGATTGTATTTTCAATCGAACTAAACAAGAGTATTTTATTGTCATTGAAAAGTTGATGGATACAGATTTGCGAATCAAGGTACTTGACAGTAATTTTCTGCCATTAGTTAATCAGGTTGTTCAATTAGACGCTTCAATGCCGATGAATGTCTTTCATGATGAACATATTTCTGATATTTCATTTGATTCTGGAAGGAAAATGGTTCGAGTTGATTGGAAGCAGAATAAATATCGTTTGCTGGATTCTGAAGCATATGTGTCGCATCATTCTGAAATTGCTAAATGCTTTGAGTCAAGATTTGTTCCGTAAGTATATCATTTTATTGTTTAATATTTCCAAAACTATACGATCTTTCATCTGTTTTGCATTCATATATTAGTGTCTTTACGAAACAGTAGGTTATCGAATTAGAATTTCAATGACCTGAATAATCTCATTTCAGTTTTAAAAGATAAGAACAGGTGTATTTTATGCCTTTGAATTTGCTAATAGTAATTGGTTTACAATCAAGTCAATATTTTTGCAATCAATACAGTCGAAATGTATTTTGTGAAATATGGTCCAGCAAATAACATCACGACTGTTGCTTATTTTGTAAAAGTATTGAAAATTATATTTAATCATTTTATAATTTTTTCATCCTTTCTTCTCCTATCCCTTTAGGACACATTACCAAGATACACAGAATCCCAGCAGTTGTGAGAACATTTACGGAAGTTCACTCCTCGAAGCTAATGGAAAGTTTGTTTTGCTGCGCATAGACGATGGACTTGTTGCTTATTGGTCGGATCCGAAACCTGGAAACATTGAGTTTAAACTGTTTGAAGATGAAAACAATTTCATTTCTACTATTTTGGGCGAAAATATTTACATAATTACTGAAAACTCTGATTTCATGACATTCAAAATTGGTCGAGAAGGAGAGTTTGAAATTGATGACTTAAAAAAGTTAGCTGAACAATTCAAGTTCGATGATTTTTTTATAGCTTCTAGTCAAGTTGGAAATGAAATTTTTTTGGTTGACAAGTTCACGAAAAACGTCTTTCGTTTCAGTTGGTTTTTTGAAGAATGGGATCCTATCGGTCTTCTGATTAATTATGATTGTAGCCAAACTGGTGGACAAAAGGAGCTTAGTGAATTGTTAACATTCACCACAGCTTTTTTATCGATAAATGCTATCAGGCCTTGCTTAAAACGTAAACTTGATTCGATGAATTGACGACAGTCATTATGCCACATCTTTTGAGCATCAAACTGCCTAAATTGTACTGATAAACATGTTGAACACTAAAAAGATGCTAATAAAAATCGTGTCAATTTGATTATATTGTCCTAATTTTTGATTCCGTATAAAATTTCTCGTTTATTTCTTTTAGAATGCTTTGTCCATAATGAATTTAAATAGTTCTGGCAATTTAAAGCTAAGTCAATCAATTAAGCTACACTTAAATTCCGTAATTGATTGATGATTAGTCCATCTTATCGTTGACAATTCTTAGTCTTGTAAAGTGTTAAGCCATGATTTATTATTAGGACCACAGGAAGACGCAGTTGGACTGGATTCTGCTAAAAAAGTGCTGAATACTCAAGAGTGCTTTCAACAGCAACCAGCTTTTAAGCTATCCGCTCATTAACTATGGAATTTAGTCAAGTTAGTTTAATGGTGCATAACATAATTTTATCATTTGGCAGAAACGAACTTTAAGCTTGAAAAATTGGTTATACTTGTTTTCACACCAATCCACGCCAAAGGATAAAAGCATAGAAAATGAAATATCGACCAATTAAACAGTAATAAAGACAAAGAACTGAACAAAGAACATTCTGGTGGACAATGATAATTCAACTTGTACAGTTCGAAATTCGTATTAAAGCATTTAATAAGTAATAGTAATGAGTGACAGCGGGGAATGGTAAGGATTGGTGTGGATGTGGAAAAAAAGTAGGACTTAAAAGTGGGGAAATTTGCAATTATAATATTATAATAGATTCTCTTGAATATTGAAAACTGAAATTAATCTAAAAGTCCATAGCAATAAGATTCAACTTCATGCAACTATTTTTACTCATAACAGATACAAGGGTAGATCAAATGTCAAATTAATTTTTTTGAGTTGATCAATTTTGTAAATGCAATCTTCAGATTTAATGTAAAAATAGAAAAATATTTGTCGGTTAATTTGAGCCATAAATGGCGTCTCTGTGTCTAGTCTAACTGTCTAACTCCAAAAGTTTTGAATCATGTGTCATTTTCATCACCTCTTAAAATGTTTCTTGTTCTTGTTAAATAGTTCAACTTACAAGAAAAAGTAACATTAAAAATTCATAGGCAAAGAGACCGACTAACCAAAAAGAAGCTCAAAGTGAAAAAAACAATAACCCACTGGAGGCACTTCGAAGACAAAGAACTCTTATTTGAACGACCGCGTTTTGAAGCACGTATGGTAATTGTATGACTCAATATAATCTTACTCAATTCGAATCAATTCGATCGATTCTTGGTCAATTCGCTTACAGAGCTGATCCAGAGCCAGTTAGTTACGCAAATTGAGTTGGAGTGCAAGTGGATGATTAGTGATCGCTGATTGGTTCAAATGGATGGGTGTCAACTGATTTTACTTTTTGCATTCAATCTTGGGGCTACATAACTGTCTTCTAGTCTCTTTGGGTTGAGACCATTCAATGTTTTAATGAGCGAAATCGATTTAATCGATCTTAAAATCGAATAGGAATATCACTAATATTAAGAAAGATTGAGTAAAAACGGTCATTTCTAATTTAACTTTCAAACCTCAAGAAACAAGAAAAAAGTCGTCGGATTTCCTCTGGATAGTGTTTAAGTTTTTATCATTTTGTTTTTAATTTCAAACTTGTGTGTCAAACATGGATTCATTAGATACTGATGACCAACTAACGATAGTGAATCGGTCAACAGAATACAAGATTAGTAAGAAACTAATTTGTAAAGTGCCTTACTTTGAAAAGTTGTTAAGCCATGAATGCTTGGAATCAAAGGAAGACAAAGTTGTATTGGATTTTGATGAACAAGCTTTTAAATTGATTATGGACTGGGTTAGAAGTCATTATGCTTTCATCTTGATCGAGATGAATCACGCAATTAGTTTGTACGAGTTGGCTGATTATTTGGGTCTGGATTGGATTTCAAAAATGTGTATCACCTGTTTCAGTGACAACTTTTCAACTAAAAATCTTCCCACTGTTGTACCTAAAGTGACTGCAACATCTAAATGTATAACCTCTGGTGCTCTTAACGCTTACATCTGTCGCTATTTCTCAAAGATAGTAAACACAACTGTGTGGCTGGAATATCCTATTGAAACGATTGAATACATTTGTGCTTTGGATCTGTTGGTTTATTCAGAGTATCAAGTTTTCATTGCAGTCCTGAAATGGGTGAATTACAAGGCTGATACAAGAAAAGCCCATCTCAAAGGATTGTTAAAGTTAGTTCGATGGTGCCATTTGAACGAGCAAGACTTATCTAAAATAAAAGAAAATGAATTGTTTAAATCTTCAGGCTTTGAACCAATATTTTGTGCTCCTCGAAAGTTTAATTTCAATTGTAACTTCAATCGAGCCAAGCAAAGTTATTTCGTCATGATTGAGAAATTGAATAGTACAGTACCCAAGCAAGACCCAGTACCAAAGTATCAATCTCCGGTTACCTATGAAGATTTGCGAATCAATGTACTTGACAATAACATGACACAACTGTTTAGTCAAGTCATCAAATATGATGGGTCAATTCCTCTAAAGCTTTTCCACGACGAACATGTTTCTGAAATTTTTTTCGAATCCAAAAGCCATTCCCTACGAATAGGCTGGAATCAAAATAAATTTACGTGGGTTTCACGTGGTCATTATCCGCAATTGTTAAAAAGAATCACTGGAAACTTTGAAGAGTAAGTAAAGATCTTATATGAAATCTTGGTACAAGTTTTTTCACTGATTCGTTTGTTAATATAATACATAATAATGTATCAACATTCATTTTGATATTATATGTTCAAACACTGTTATTGCATCAGTCTTATTAATTTTATATTAACAAATATTTAATTCAACATTTTTCTTTTCTTTAGCGAAACTCATCTTATTGGAAATTTAGTGCCGGGAGAAAATTTTGAAGATGGTTCCATACTTTTAGAGGGCTCTGAAAATTTTATTATGATTTCCATCAAAAAGAGACGTTTACACTATTTCGTAAGGCCAACCTACGAAAATTATGCAAAATTTTTGAGCTTGCACGAATGCAAAGCAACTATTTTGAACGATAAGCTTTACTTGCTGTCGAATGCACTTGATTTATACGAGTTTGAAATTGACTTCAATAATAATGCGCTTAGACGAACTTGGAGCCATTGCTTATGGAATGATGAATTCAGATTCGAAAATTTGCTTTTAACATCGAATCCAGCTGGTGATAAAATTATTTGCATTGATAAATTAACAAAAAAATTCATTTGTTTCGACGTCAACACTAAAGTGAGTTCGAAGGGTCGTATGATAACATATTCTTATGCTGATGGCTATAAGGAATCCAACAGTCTGTTCACTTTTACTTCTACTTTTCTTCCGTTAAACACCATCAGAACTTGCTTAAACTCCAAATCCAACTCAGAGAATTAGTTATTTGACTAAAATTATTCATAAATTGAGTGCTTCATGAACCAACTAAAGTTTTAAAATTGGCTTAAATAATTATAATAGTTATTTCTCTAAACTAAACTTATAACCTGATGTTTACTCATTTAACAAATAATGATTTAAACTTATCTTTTCCTTGTATTCAAATTAAATTTCAGTTATTTTAATTAAATCAATCGCTTTAATAGAATGTATATTTATTTATCATAAGAAACTTCTTCTATCATGACTGATCACGGTTCAATCAATCCACAACCAATACTCCAGTTTTTAGTGGAAAAACATTTTTAAAATGCGAAAGAAACTAAAAACTCAACTAAAATGAAACTCTGTAGCTGAACAAAATTAAGTATAATAGAAGTTTCAACTATGAAAGCGATTTTATGATAAACTGTCCATCAGATAAATTTTTAAATGCACAAATGACTTGAGTTTTTATGTCCCTAAAAGTATTGATTTAAAGATGTTACTGATGATTTTGATTAGCTTGATTCACGTTATCGTTTCGTGTGTTTGGATAGCAAAATTTTTTGTTACTTTCTATTCAAACATAATTCTTTCGATTTTCACACATAGGTGTTATCGTGAATTGGGATCGAATCGCGCCGTAATGGTGTCATTTTTCAGCTCAATTGCAATTGCAGCTCAAAAGAAACTTTGCAAGCCAATTAGCAGTTAACTTTCTTTATTTTCCTTGTTAACTATTGTTGCGTTTCTTAAAAACTAATCGTTGAGGCTAATTCACAAAGCTTGTTACTAACAAGTTGTTAGTCTTTGCAAACATTTGAAACAAGGTTCATAGACTTTATGACTTTGTTAATGAGAAAAATGGTTTCTTGTTTGCTTAAGAAAACTGATTCTTTAATTAAATTGCAGTGAAGTTGCAAAGCAATGTTTCTCATCTAGTCATAAAGTCTCGTCTTATTGAAAAACAGCAATTACTTTAATCATTCAATTTAGTTTTAAACACAAAACTCTGAGTCCAGAGATTGGGCACATCATGTGCCATTGAAGTGATTAGATTTAGATTGGCCATCTCCATCTGAACCATCTTCGTCATTCAATGTGGTTTCATCAATTTAGGGAAATAACTTTGCTCTTTGAACATGACTTGAAATTGCATGACTCAATCTACTCAATCATAACCGAATATAATGACTCGATGCTCTAGTCAATTCAATCGATTCTTGGCCGAGTTGTTTACAGAGCTAATCCAGACGATGAACCAGTTAGCTGAGGAAATTAAGTTTGAGTGTAACTGTTTGACAGTAAAATATTAGTATTCAATAATTGGCTCAAATGGAAGAGGTCAACTGATTCCATCTTTTGTGTCACTCCTAGAACTTAAAAATTGTTTATGTTGAATGAAGATTGAAAAATGGTCATTTCTTAACTTTATACCTAAAAAACAAACAAGTAGTCCGATACTATCCTCTTGATAGTGCAAAGTTTTATCCTTTTGTTTTTATTTTGAAGTGTGTGTCATGGATTCATTAGACCCGGATGACCAACTAACGATATTGAATCGTTCAACAGAATATCGTATTAGTAAAAAACTGATTCGTAAAGTGCCTTATTTTGAAAGGATGTTGAGCCATGAATGTTTGGAATCAAAGGAAAACAAAGTTGAATTGGATTTTGATAAGCAGACCTTGGAAATAATTCTGAATTTAGTTAAAAGCGATTATACTGTTATTACGATTGAGATGAACTATGTAATTACTTTGTACGAGTTGGCTGATTATTTGGGTCTGGATTGGATTTCAAAAATGTGTATCACCTGTTTCAGTGACAACTTTTCAACTAAAAATCTTTCCAGTGTTATACCGCAAGTGACTGCAACATCTGAATGTGTAAACTCTGGTGATCTTAATGCTTTCATCTGTCGTTATTTCCTTAAAATAGCAAACACAACTATTTGGTTTGGATATCCTTTTGAAACGATTGCATATATTTGTGTTTTGGATCTGATGATCTATTCAGAATATCAAGTATTCGATGCAATCATGAGATGGGTGAATTTCAAGGCTGATACTAGAAAGGGCCATCTCAAAGGATTGTTGAAGCTAGTCCGATGGTGCCATTTGAACGAACAAGACTTATCTAAGATAAAAGAAAACGAATTGTTTAAATCTTCAGGCTTTGAGCCAATATTTTGTGCTCCTCGAAAGGTTAGTTGCAATTGTACCTTCAATCGAGCCAAGCAAAACTTTTTCATCATGATTGAAAAATTTGAGAAAAGTACAGATTTGCGAATCAAAGTACTTGACAATAACTTGACACAACTGGTTAGTCAAGTCATCAGACATGATCCGTGTGTGCCTTCAGAGCTTTTCCATGATGAACACATTTCTGACCTTCTTTTCGATACCAGAAGGAATTCCCTTCGAATAGACTGGAAACGTAAAAAATTTATGTGGTTTTGCCCTCCACAACCTTATACTCAATTGCTTAAAACAATCGATGGAAACATTGGACAGTAAGTAATCATTTTACAATGAAAGTCTGCATTGAAGTTTTTTTACTGATCTCCTTTTGCTATTAATTTCATATTTATTTTTATTGTACTAACATTCATATTGGTACATTTTAAACACTGGTATGACTTTAGTCAAATTCATTTTTTTTTGTTATCAAATATTTAATTCAACCTATTTTCTTTTGTGCTTTAGTGGAACTCATCTTATCGGGGATTTAGAACCAGGAGAAAATATTGAAGATGGTTCTTTACTTTTAGAAGGAGCTGAAAATTTTGGCCTGATTTACATTCAAGCAGGTCGTTTGCACTATTTTTCAAGGCAACCCTACATAAATTATATAATGTTTCCGAGTCTAAACCAATGTAAAGCCACTATTTTGAACGATAAGATCTACTTGCTTACAAATAAACGCAAGTTATACGAGTTTAAAATTGAAGTTGATAATAAGGTGCTTAGACGGACTTGGAGCCATCGCTTATGGCATAATAAATTCAGTTTTACGAATACCCTGTTAACATCGAATCCAGCTGGTGATAAAATTATTTTGGTTGATAAACTCACAAAAAAATTCATTAGTTTCGATGTCAACACTAAAGTGAGTTCAAAGGGTTGTACGACAACTTATTCATCTGCTGATGACCAAAAGAATTCCAACAGTCTGTATACTTTGACTTCTACTTTTCTTCCGTTAAACACCATCAGAACTTGCTTAACTAAACTAAACTCCAAATCTAACTCCAGATCATTAATTTACTAAAATTATTCTTGAACTGAGTAATTCATCAGCTTACTAAAGCTTTAAAATTGGGTTAAATATTTATTTATTTATTTAAATTAAACTTAAATCTGAGGTTTTTCTAAAGCATGTAGAGATTTGCAAAAGATTATCTCTTTTACTGAATTTCCTTCATATTGTATGCCTAATTCACAAGACATGGCCAAACGGGAACGTTTTCTGGTTCATTTTTATAATAAACTTACTTTTTTGTCGCCTTCTTTCAAAAAATAGCATTCGAAAAAATTGACGATTGTCGATTCTGATGAGACTTATCCCTTTTTGTGGAGTACACTAAAGTTCTGAGTCTAGTCTGCCCATTTGACTAATCCTCACGAAAAGCTTAAAATATTGCTTACTAATTAGTTTTAGAAAGAAGATTAAGTTTACGGCAATTTTTTCTCAGTCGGCATCTATTGATAATTGACTTTTTGAGACAAAGTTCACAACCAATAATCACTGATTGGTTGAAAATTAAAGCTCAATAGATGGAGATTTTGAAACTTGCTTTAACTTGCCTCATTAGGTACCTTATAAATCAATTATAATTCGTTAAAAAGTTGGGTTTATTTAACTCTTGTGAGTGACTCCGAGCAATAAGCTGGTTAGAAGCTGGCGTGTAAGTGGCAATGAAAGTGTTAATTGATTGGCTTAAATAGTCGGGTACAGCATCGACTTGCTGATACAAATGACTTGAGTCTTTTTATTATGGCAATTTAAAGACTGCAGTAAAATGGCAGCAAATTTGAAACATTTAAATACATTGAAGGATTATATTGCCTTTTAAAATCCTTTGCTCTTCTGTATTTGCCTCTTAAAGCTTTTGGCTATTTTGTGATTAGCTTAGCTGTTCTGGGTCACTTGTTGGTCAATCGAAGGTACAACGAAGTCGTAAACATATTCCTTGTTCACTAAATGAACTGTTTCTTATGTTTCTTTTGAGTTTAGTATATTAAATAATATGATAAGTTATTCATTTATGAAAGTTAACAACTTCTTGTTGAATTAAAATTCGTGCTTTAACTATGGATCCATTGCAAACTGATGACCAACTTAAAATAGTGAATCGATCAATGACACATACTATTAGTAAAAAAATAATTCGTAAAGTGCCTTACTTTGAAAGGATGTTGAGCCATGATGTATTGGAATCAAAGGAAAATAAAGTTGAACTGGATTTCGATGAAAAAGCTTTCAAATCATTTTTAAATTGGATTAGATTCGATAGTGCCATAATTGATATGAAATACGTTATAACACTTTGCAACATAAGTGATTATTTTGGAATGAACTACTTGATGCAAGAATGCACTGAATATTTTCGCAAAAGGTTTTCGATTGAACATCTTGCGACTGTTATACCTCAAGTCACTGAAAATTGCATGTTGATCAATTCTGATACTCTCAATGCTTTCATCTGTCGCCATTTCTTGAAGATAGCAAACACATCTGTTTGGTTAAGTTATCCTGTTGAAACAATAGAGTACATTTGTGCTTTGGATTTGATGATTTATTCAGAATATCAAGTCTTCCAGGCGATCGCAAGATGGGTCCATTTCAATGCTTATTCTAGAAAATGTCATCTTGGAAGATTGTTAAGATTAGTTCGATGGTGTCATTTAAAAGAGAAAGATTTATCTGAGATAAAGGAAAATGAACTGTTCAAATCATCAGGTTTTGAGCCAAAATCTTGCTTACCTTCCAAACATAATTGTGATTGTTTCTTTAACAGAGTTAAGCAAAATTGTTTCATTATTATTGAAAAATTGAATGGTACAGATTTGCGAATCACAGTACTTGGCAATAATTTTCTGTTCCTGTTTAATCGAGTTATAAAATTGGACGAATCAATATCACCGAATCTGCTTCACGATGAACATATTTCTGATATTTTGTACCATTCTGGAAGGAAAGCAATTCGAATTGATTGGAATCGAAATGAATATCGCTTTTTCAATGAGAAAGATTTCAGATCTTATCTATTTAGCACCTGTAGATTGCTTGCGAATCACTCGTAAGTTATTAATTCTTAAGTCAACACTCATTGAACTTACAGCAAGTGAACCATTTATTACTGTTGAAATCAATCTTGAAATGCGCTATAACTCATTTTTTGCATTCGTATTTTTAGATACTTTTCTGTGCTCGAATAAATAATCTTAAATTTTTATTTTTATATTTTAGGATAAAATATTGTTGGAAACCTTCTGGATTCCGGCCTATCTACAGATACACAATACGCGACACAACTGATGCAAGACTTATTTATACCCATGGTCATGATGAGGAATTTGAGTTTTGGTTAACGAAAATAATGCAATCTGGTGATGAAATCATGAGGAATTCTAGACTTCATGATACGCTGATAAAACTTCGTGTAACTGTGCTTTCCAGTAATATCTTCATTCTGACAAATAAGCTTGAGTTTGGCATGTTCAATATTCGCCACAAACATTTCAAGAAGATTGAGCTTCCAAAATTGGATGATGGATATGAATTTGAATACGAAAGCTTGTTTTTAACTTCAAGTGTAGATCATGCTGATCGAGTTTTTTTGATCGATCAATCCACGGAAAAAGCCTTTTGTTTAAATATTACTAATCAAGAATGGAGTTTAATCGGTGGTTTGTTTATTGATCCTTATCCAACAGCTAATTCTGGCCGAAGTTGTGGTTATAGTTTAAGGGAATCTAATAAGTTGATCACATTGACCCCAGCTTTTCTACCGCTAGACATCATCAGTAATTGCTCGAACCATAACCTCAACTCTGTTCGGTAAAGATATCGAAAGTCTGAAAATTTACTGTACACTGGTAGCTGCACTTAACGCAACAAATTGGGGTTTCAGTTAACGCAATTTTTAGGTGTCGCCATCTTTGGTATTTTATTGTTTTAGAGACTTTAATATGTAAATAATGGTCAACCTTGAAGATAATTGCATGATCTAATAGATGGCGACTATGGTAAAAATTGACCCATTTGTTGCGTTAACTGCAGCAACCAGTGTATTAAATTATGGCTAAATAAATTCAATTGTTGATTTAAATATCGTTTTTGTTTTGACGTGATATTAAAAAGCCCCGAGATATCGAAAAAAAATGGTAAAATTTATTGATTACATCAACATAGAGTTCACGAAAAATGGGATTATTCAATGTCAGAAATTGAAATTAAATAAAGAGAATAAAATTTCTTGATTTAGGAAATTGAAACAATTGTTTCAGATTGAAAATATTGAATTTCATCGATATTGTCTTCTACAAGAACTTTAGTTGCACCCTGTAGAGTCTTTAAGTCTGTGAATAGGAAATCTTTCCCTATGCGCAATGGACTGTTTTTGTTTTGCTATGGTTTGATCTAACATTTTTTGCGCATCTTTCTTAATACCCTGTAATGAAATATCTTAAACTTACTAATGTGTTACAATGTATCTGATACAAAGTATCAATTACTCTTTTGATGATCTTAGTGAACTCCAGATATAGATCATCTGTTAAATTTAATCTCTAGTGGCTGATTGTGTAGTTATTTATTTCGTGTGAATTATTGTTTTGTGCTTAATATGGATTTACATAATTATTGTGTATTAGAAACTGATGACCAACTTACGATAGTTAATCGATCCACAGAACATCGTATTAGTAAAAAATTGCTTCATAAAATACCTTATTTTGGAAGTATGTTGAGCCATGATGTGTTGGAATCAAAGGAAAATAGAGTTGAACTTGATTTCGATGAAAAGACTTTCAAAATAATTCTGGATTGGATTGAACTTGATTTTATGTACATCGATATGGATCACGTAATAAATCTGTGTACCATGGCTGACTATTTTGGGATGAACGATGACTTATTAAAGGATTGTTTCAACTATTTCCATAAAAAATTTTCATTTGAATTTCTACCGACCATTATTCCTCAAGTGACTTCAACTTCTAAATTAGTCAATTCGAGTGTTCTGGATGCTTTCATCTGTCGCCATTTCCTTAAAATTGTCCAAACAACTCGTTGGTCTCTTTTTCCCTTCGAAACAATTGATTACATTTGTAAGCTGGACCTGATGATTTATTCAGAATATCAAGTTTTCGATGCGATCATAAAATGGGTAGATTACCTTGCTGATTATAGAAAGTCACATCTTAAAGCATTGCTAAATTCAGTCCGATGGTGTCTTATGAAATATCAACATCTAACTAAAGTAAAGGAAAATGAGCTCATCAAATCTGAAGGTTTTGAACCGCATTTCTGCTATCTCGATAATGCTGTATGTTGCTGCTGCTATCGAACTAAACAAGAGTATTTTATTGCTATTGAAGAGTTAGAGGGTACAGAATTGCGAATCAAAGTACTTGACAGTAATTTCCTGCCATTAGTTAATCAGGTTGTTCAATTAGACGCTTCAATGTTGATGAATGTTCTTCATGATGAACATATTTCGGATATTCCATTCGATTCTGGAAGGAGATTGATTCGCCTTGATTGGAAGCAGAATAAATATCGTTTGCTTGATTATAAAGCATATGTATCACACCATTTTGAGGTTGCAAGATGCACTCGCAAAATATATGTTAAGTAAGTACAACGTATTTCATTTTAGTGTTTCTCATGATCATACGATCTTTCGTAATATTTAGTTTCTGTAGTAGTTTCTTGACGGTTCTAAACTCAACATTTCAACCGTCGCTAAATTTATTCTATTTGATTCTTTTATAATTATTTCATCTTTTCCTTTTTTACATTTTAGAACGGAGTATCAAGGTACAAAGAATTACAACAGCAGCTGCCAACGTATTTACGGAAGTTCACTTCTCGAAGCTAATGGAAAGTTTATTTTATTTCGCATCGTCGACGGACCTGTTTCTTGTTGGTCGGATCCAAAAACTGAAGACATTAATCCTAAACTGTTTGGCTATGAAAACAATTTCATTTCGACTATTTTGGACAAAAATATTTACATAATGACTAAAAATTTTGATTTCATGACATTCAAAATGGATCAAGAGGGAGAGCTTAAAATTATTCCGCTTAAAAAAATAGCCGAACAATTGAGCTTCGATGATTTAATACTAACTTCCAGCCAAGTTAAAAATGAAGTTTTTTTGGTCGATAAGTCCACAAAAAACATCTTTAAATTTAGCCATTTCCACAAAGTATGGGTTCTAATGGGTCTTCTGGTTAATTATAACAGTAAGAAAACTGTTGGACAAAAGGCGCCTAGTAAGTTTCTAACATTCACCACAGCTTTTTTATCGATAGACGCTATCAGACCCTGCTTAAAACGTAAACTTGCTTCGATGAATTAATAAAATTCATCATGCAACTTATTTTGAGTATTGAACTGCCTTAATTGTATTGACAACCCTGTTGAGCACTTGAAAGATGATAATAAAATTTGATTGTATTTTCCATAATCTTTGATTCCTTCAAAAATTCAAATCTGATCAAAATGATTATGCATTAATGATGACCTAAAATATTAATATGAAAAGACTGACAAATGAAATTAACTTGAGAATTTCTATTCATCTCATCAGCATTCAGGCAATATTGAAAATGTGTTAACATCAGTCATAATCAAATGCACATTCCAATACACTGAGAAATTATTTCTTGAAGCTCATCTTTTAATGAGAACTGAATTCGCTGAAAAGATACGTTGTAAGGTATATTCGCAATTAACGATAACGTCTATGCGTGGACGACACTTAAGCTGATGTTTTAAAGTATTTAATGTTGAAATTAGATTAACTATTTTCAGTTTTAGTTTGTTTCATTTCATCATCATTTGTATTTGATTTACCACTTTTGGTAACATAGAAGATGCGATTTGATAGACCAGAATTAATGAATCACTCGTAATTCATACTGCTGATTTTGATAAAAAATCATTGATTTAGTTGAAGATTGATTCAAGTTACCCCTTTGTGTGCTTTGATAGCAAAATTTTTGATACTTTATATTCAACCCTAATTCTTTCGACTTTCACACATTGGTGTTACCGTGAGTTGGGAGCGAACCGTAATGGTGTTATTTTTCAGCTCAATTGCATAGCGAAAAAGAAACTGTAAGCCAATTAGCAGTTAACTTTCTTTATTTTCCTTGTTAACTATTTTTGACTGCGTTTCTTGAAAACGATCTTTAGTCTAATTCATAAAGCTTGTTAATAAAAAGTTGCTAGTCTTTGAAAATCAACTTGCAAACATTTGAAACAAGATTCATAGACTTTATGACTTTGTTAATGAGAAAAATGGTTTCTTGTTTGCTCAAGAAAATTGATTCTTTAGTTTAATGTACTGAAGTTGCAGAGCAATGTTTCCATCTAGTCATAAAGTTTCGTCTTATGAAAAACAGTAATTACTTTAATCATCCAATTCAGTTTTAAGCACAAAACTCTATGAGTTCAGTTTCTTTTAATTATGACACATTATCCTCTTTCAGCGTTTGCATTTGAGTTGATCGTAGAAGAGTCTTCATTAGCTGAAATGCGATAGCTTTTAATACCGCCAGATATTTTCACTCTCAACATCTAAATGGTTACTAAAAGTAACCAAGTCACCTTTAATTTACACTTCATGTAGAGTTTGACGGTTACTCAATAAATGAAATTAACGCTATTTTTTGTGGTTTTATTATTTATTGTTTTTGTTATCGATATCATTTTTAAATAAATTTTTCGAAGAAAAGTCGTGAAAACACTGAGAAAAGTGTCCAGCTTTATACATCTTAATCTGCGGCCGAAAATTATTTATATTTATCGATATATTTTGCACCAAAATATCGATAATATCGATATAGCTATTGCATAAGTTAGAGAAAATTTAACTTATTCTAAAAAGAATTGCTTAATAGGTTTTTAACTGTACAGTTATTCATTTCAATTTTATTTTATTTTGATTTTAGATCTGTGCCACAACTATGGATTCATTAAAAACTGATAATCAACTACTGATAGTTAATCGTTCAGTAGAATATCGTATCAGTAAAGAACTGATTCGTAAAATACCTTATTTTGAAAAGATGTTCCCCCATGACTTGAAGGAATCCAAGGTAAACAAAGTTGTATTGGATTTTGATGAAAAGACTTTCAAAATAATTCTGGATTGGATTGAAATGGGCTCTATGTACATCAAGATGGACCACGTAATCAATCTGTGCACCATGGTGGACTATTTTGGTATGAACCATAATTTGATAAAGGATTGTTTCACCTATTTCCATAAAAATTTTTCAATTGAACATCTTGGCACTGTTATGAGTCAAGTGACTTCAACATCTAAGTTGGTCAATTCGCGCGCTCTAGATGCTTTCATTTGTCATCATTTCCTGAAGATCGTCAACACGTCTTTTTGGTTGAAATGTCACAGTGCAACAGTGTTGAAAATTTGTCGACTCAACGTAATGATTTCTTCAGAGTACCAAGTTTTCGAAGCAATCATAAAATGGCTCCGTTACAGGTTTGATTATAGAAAGCGTTATTTTGCACAATTGTTAGCAAGTATCCGATGGTGTAATATGGACCCTGGACATTTATCTGATTTAAAAAAAAATGATTTAGTAAGATCTGCAGACTTAGTGGTGGAAACTTGCTCTCTTGATGAAGGCTGTGGTTGCAACTACGATCGAACTAAGCAGAATTATTTTATTACCATTGAAGAGTTGAACACTAAGAATTTACGAATCAAAGTCCTTGACAGTAATTTTTTCCCGCTGGTTAATCAAGTCTTCAAATGGGATAATTCATTGCCTTTATTTTCCCTTCCTGATGAACATGTATCTGATGTTGTATTTGATTCTGGGAGGAAAATGATCCGAATTGATTGGAAGCAAGAGAAATGTCGTTTGCTTAATTATGTAGAATATTTAACTTATTGTTATAAACGTGATAATCACATCATCAAAAAGCATAAAATGTAAGTATAAGATTCTATAGTTTCATGGTTTTCTAGCCGCACAACCTATTGTAAGCGTCACCCATGTCATGATCTTCATTAACACCTTAGTATTAATATAATTCTTGGCTTGATTTTAACATGTATTTATACATGTTTAAGCTGAATAGTAGAAGAGAGTCCATTCCAACGCCTTCTAATACAGAAAAATCGGTTGAGTGAAGTCTCAACAAGTTGAGTCTATCAAAGCTATCAGTTTATATGTTTTGAGGCCTCATCAGCAAACAACGACGATTGTTGCGTTACTCATTCATTTTTATAATCAAAATAATTATTTCGAAATTTGCTATTATTTAAATATTTTAGGACCAAACATCAAGTGGCAAAGGTTTCTGGAAAATTCGTTGCTATTACCGGAAGTTTACTCCTTGAAGCTAATGGAAAGTTAATTTTGCTTCGCATATCTAATGAATTTGTTGAATGTTGGTCGGATCCAAAAGCTGAAAACATCAACTCTATAGCCTATTCTTTTAAAGATAATTTTATTGCTACTATTTTAGACAAAAATATGTACATACTGACTGAGGCTTTGGATTTCATGACATTCAAAATTGATAAAGATGGAGAGCTCAAAATTATTAAACTTAAACGATTAAAAGAACAGTTAGATTTCGATGATTTATTTCTAACTTCAGGCCAGGCCCATGATAAAGTTTTTTTGGTTGACAAGTCAACAGGAAACGTCTATTGTTTCAATATCACAACTCAACGATGGAGCCAAATTGGTCTACTGGTAAATTATAACTGCTGTAAAACTGATCGCAAAAAGAAGTCTAGTAAGCTGTTAACATTTACCTCAGCTTTTTTATCAATAGACGCTATCAGACCTTGTTTAAAGCGTAAACTTAATTCATCAAATTAACTATTCTTAAATAATTCATTATTTATTCATTAAACCGACTAAATTGTATCTACTATCCTTTAAAAAGATGAAAACATAATAAAATCATATTCTATTATCTCTTATTCGGTGTTTAATTTGTCATTCAATTCTATTACAAAGCGTTGGTTGTGGTCAACATAAATGTTGTTAATATTAATTTGTTAAGCATGACATTTGATATTACTTACTTCAAATTATAGCAACTATTTGCGAGTTCTTAATTAATCTTGTTGACTGGATTTTGATGAAAATGCGTTTAAGATTGTCCTCGATTGAGAAATAGATTTGAGAAGAGTGTCCGTTAACTGAAAAGCGATAGCTTTTAATACCGCCAGATATTTTCACTCTCAACATCTAACTGGTTACTAAAAGTAACCAAGCCACCTTTAAATTAGAGTTTGATTAAACTCAACAAATAAAATTATCGCTATTATTGTTTAATTGTTTATTGTTTTTATCATTTTTTTAATAAAATTTTCTAAGACGAGCCTGAAATACATTCAGAAAGTTCCAAGCTTTATTAATCTGTTACCGCATTATTATAATTATCGATATATTTTACATCCGAATATCGATAATATCGATATAGCCATTACATAAGCTTAGCTTGTTAAGCTGAAGGGAAGCTATTTTAAACTTATTCTAAAAAGAATAAATTGTTCAATAAGTTGTTAACTGTACACAGTTATTCATTTCAATTTAATTTGTTTTTGATTTTAAATCTGTGCCACAACTATGGATTCAACAGAAACTGATAATCAACTATTAATAGTTAATCGCTCAAAAGAATACCGTATCAGTAAAGAACTGATTCGTAAAATTCCCTATTTTGAAAAGATGTTGCGCCATGATGTGTTGGAATCACAGGAAAACAAAGTTGTATTGAATTTTGATGAAAAGACTTTCAAAATAATTCTCGATTGGATTGAACTGGATTTTATGTGTATCAAGATGGACCACGTAATAAATCTGTGTACCATGGCTGACTATTTTGGGATGAACGATGATTTGATAAAGGATTCTTTCACCTATTTCCATAAAAATTTTACATCTGAACATATTGGCACTGTTTTAAGTCAAGTCACTTCAACATCCAAATTAATCAATTCGTGCGCTCTGGATGCTTTCATTTGTCGTCATTTCCTGAAGATCGTCAACACGTCTTTTTGGTTGAAATGTCACAGTGCAACAGTGTTGTACATTTGTCAGCTCAACCTGATGATTTCTTCAGAGTACCAAGTTTTCGAAGCAATCATAAAATGGATCCGTTGCAGGTTTGAGTTTAGAAAGCGTTATTTTAAACAATTGTTAGAAAATATCCGATGGTGTAATATGGACCCTGATCATTTTGTTGTCTTTAAAAATGATCTCGTCCAGTCTGAAGATTTGGTAAAATTTGTGGGGGAAATTTGCGATTATGAAGAAAATTGTGATTGCAACTGCGACCGAACTAAGCAAAATTATTTTATTACAATTGAAGAGTTGAACACTGCGGATTTACGAATCAAAGTCCTTGACAGTAATTTTATCCCGTTGGTTAATCAAGTCTTCAAATTAGATGATTCACTGTCTCTAGGTGTCCTTCCTGATGAACATGTATCTGATGTTGTATTTGATTCTGGAAGGAAAATGATTCGAATTGATTGGAAGCAAAAGAAATGTCGTTTGCTTGGTTATGCAAAATATGTATCTTATTGTAGAAAAATTGATAGGCGCATAAAAAAGAGGAAAATGTAAGTATAATTTTCCATAGTTTCATGTTAATAGCGTTTTCTAACCACACAAACCATTTTAAGCCTCACTCATGTCATGATCTTCATTAACACCTTAGCATAATGCTTGACTTGATAAAATTTTAACATGTATCTAAACATGTTTAAGTTGAATAGTAGAAGAAAGTCCATTACAATGCCTTCTAATACAGAAAAAGCGGTTGCATGAAATTTTATCAAATTGAATCTATCAAAGCTATGAGTCTATATGTTTTGAGACCTCATCAGCAAACAACGACGATTGTCGCGTTACTCATTCCTTTTCATAATCAAAATAATTATTTCAAAATTTTCCATTATTTAACCATCGCAGGACTCAATATCAGGCAACTGTATCTGACGATTTCGCGTATACTACAGGCAATTCAGTCTTTGAAGTTAATGGCAAGTTAATACATCTTTGCATAGATGAGGGATTGGTTGATTGTTGGGCTGATGAAGCAGCTGAAGATATCGACTCTGCCTCCGATCACTATGAAGATGATTTTATTGCTACTATTTTGGACAAAAATATTTACATAATGACTGACAATTTGGAGTTCAGAACATTCGAAATCGACCAAGAGGAAGAGTTTGAAATTATTGAACTTAACAAATTAAAAAAACCAATGAACTTCCAGGATTTATTTCTAACTTCAGGCCAAGCCGATGATAAAGTATTTTTGGTTGATAATTCCACAAGAAATGTCTTTTGTTTCAATATCACAACTCAACGATGGAGCCAAATTGGTCTACTGATTAATTATAACTGCTGTAAAACTGATGGCAAAAAGAAGTCTAGTAAGCTGTTAACATTTACCTCAGCTTTTTTATCAATAGACGCTATCAGACCTTGTTTAAAACGAAAACTTAATTAATCGAATCAACTATTAAGTAATTCATTATATATTCATTAAACCGACCAAATTGTATTTACGATTCTATTTAGCAGATAAAAGACAATAAAATCATAGTCTATTTTTTATTCAATGTTGATATTGTCATTCAATTCTATTACAAAGCTTTGTTTGTGGCCAACAAAAATTTTTTAATATTTTAATTGTTAGGCATAACAATTGATAGTAAACTAAATTACTTACATCAATTTATAGTAACTATTTGCGAGTTCTTAATTAATCTTGTTCTTGAAACTCCATCTTGTGATTTTCTAATGATGATAGAGTGATCTTGGTTGATAAGTCCACAAAAGATGTTTTTTGTCTAATATCAACTCTCAAAAATGGTGTTTAATGAGTCAAGTTATCCTGTTGAAACAATAGAGTACATTTGTGCTTTGGATTTTATGATTTATTCAGAATATCGAGGCGATCGCAAGACGAATTTTACGCAAGACCAGCTCATTCAAATTGTTAATTTTTAGCTGCGCTTGGCTTGAACCAGCGCAAGCTACAAGCCGATTAAATTTTCGCTTATGGCTGAATTTGTCAGGAATTATTCGAAAAACAATTTCATAATTTTTCAAGGTCTGAAAAAAACTGTTGTCATAAAGCTCTTGTTGAAAATTTTTCTGGCTCAAGCTGGGTCGAGAGAACCGATTCGAGTCATTTAATTACAACTTAGCTTGGCTTTTTTCCTAAACGGCTCGCTTCTGACTCAAATTGGCTGGCTTCTATTTTAATTTTGTTTCTTATTCGAAAAATTCTTTTATTTACCAATTTCTTGTTTAATTTCAAATATAATTGAACTCTGCAAGAATAACATTTAACAAGAGTCTTTTTTAATAAGATTGTGTTTTATTTCAACTGTGTTTGAAGATAATTATTTGCAGTTATAATAAAATTGCGTATCAAGTATGGATTCAAGAGGTACTGATTACCAACTTACAATAGTGAATCGATCTGTGGAACATCGTATTGGTAAAAGACTAATTCGTGAAATACCTTATTTTGAAAAGATACACCATGATTTGAAAGGATCAAAGGAAAACAAAATTGAACTGGATTTCGATGAACAGACTTTGGTATCGTTTCTGAATTGGATTGAACTTGGCTATATCTTCATGGAGATGAAAAATATAATGCATATGTGCAACATAGCTGATTATTTTGTACTAAAAAGTGTTATAAATAACATTGAAATTTACTTTCATAATAACTTTAAAATTGAACATCTTCCAATTGTTTTACCTCAAGTGACTACAACATCTAAACTGATCAATTCTGGTGCTTTAAATGCCTTCTTATGTCGTCATTTCTCAAAAATAGCAAACACAACTGTTTGGTTGGATTATCCTGTTGAAATAATCAAATACATATGTAATTTGGAAGTGATGGTACATTCAGAAATCCAAGTTTTTGAGGCAATTTATAGATGGATGAAACACAATCCTGAGTCTAGAAAGTGTTACCTTGATGGATTGTTAAATCATGTCCGATGGTGCCATTTGGAAGCTAAGGATTTGGCTTTAATTGAGGAAAATGAATTTTTTAAGTCTTCAGGCTTCAAACCAATAATTTGTCCCTCAAGAAAGCTCAATTGTGATTGTGGCCTCAACCGAACTGATCGAAATTATTTCATTATGATTGAGAAATTGGGTGATTCAGTTTTGCGAATAAAAGTGCTTGACAATAATCTTCTTCCGCTGTTCAATCGCATAATGAAACCTGACGCATCATTGCCTTCACATATCTTACCAGATCAACATATTTCTGATATATCTTTTCATTTCGGAAACCAGATTATTCGAGTTGATTGGAATCGTAATAAATACAAGTATCTTTCGGCACAACACGATTCTTATTTCCAAAGAATCTTTAAATATATTTTTGAAAAAGACGGGTGAGTAAGCTTAATCTCAATAGTGCTTAGACGATTTCTCATTTTTTTTTATTTTTCTCCTTTTTCCCCTAATATTCCAAAAACTGTTTCCAATTAGGCATCACATCGAAAATTATTGCGATTGGAATAGATTTCTTGAAGCCAATGAAAGATGTATTTTGATTAATTTTTGTTCCCAATTGGCGCGGTATTGGCCTAAACACACTGCCGAAGATACTGAGATTTTCTCAGATAAAAACCACGCTATCCTCGCAACTGTTCTGAATAATAATATTTACCTGTTGACTAAAAAACTTGAATTTATTCAGTCTGACATCTATTTCCAAAAACATGTGACTTTATATAAATATAGCAATAGACCAAAGACCGGATCCATAGACTACTCTGATCATTTCATTCTTACTTCCAAGCAATCTAATGATGATAGAGTTATTTTGATTGATACGCATACAAAAGATGCTCGCTGTTTCAATGTCAGCACTAGAGAATGGAGTTCAATAAATCATATAATTTATCCTGACTCTAATGAACAGCAGGAATCATGTAGTCTGTTAACTTTCACCTCAGCATTTATATCGATGGACATCATAAGACTGTTCGCCTCATTAAAAGTTTGATATGATACAAGTCGCTGGATTACTGAAGTGCGGAATTCATTATTTATATCATAATTATATCAATTGAAAACTTTTACTAAATTTTTCCCTCCATCAAATTCATCTCTTACTTATGAATAAAACAATTCATATTCCAATAGGGATTGTGATGATCCATAAATAAAAAAAATTCGATAAAATTGTTTCTGCATTACTCAATTTAATTTAACAAAAACAGTAAAGATTCGGCACGCGGGCGTTTTGTATACCCTTGCAATGTGTATAAATAAAGTGTACCAGTAAAGTACCAGATAATATCATTAGATTATTTAGCGATCCCTTAACTGTCATATACGAAGGTTTGGTGGAAATTATCAAGACGTTATTAATCAAATTGAATATTCTGGCAAATTTCAACTCGAATTATGCTCTTAAAGCTTGAATAAGGCAATTTGTAAGCTCCTCTGGTAATTAATTTAGATTTTGTTACAGAGACCTGCCAGTAATTTAGACTAAATTTTTCAATGGTCCCTATTGAAGAAGGAAAAAATTTTTTTTTGATTTCACCGAAATTAATTTCGAGTTTTTAGCTATAATTAACTCAATTTAATTTTCCTTCGTAAAATATCAATCTAGAAACTTGCGGAATCAGCTTAAAGTAAAATTTTAGGTTAAATTTGCTCGATTAAGAAAAATTGAAAATCATGAATTATGCTGCTCGACGAATAGTGTAAATAAGCTATTTCAAGTGAGTCTAAATTGCCGGCAGGTCTCTGTACAGTTACCTTAAGCTATTCATACATGGATTAAGCTTTCTTTTATTAATTAATTATTTCTTTAATAATTTTATTTGTGCAATTATGGATACATTTAAAGTTGAGAACCAATTAACAATTGTGAATCGATCAACAGAACGTCGTATTAGTAAAAATTTGATTCGTAAAATACCTTATTTTGAAATGATGTTGAGCCATGATTTATTGGAGTCAAGAGAAAACAAAGTTGAACTGGATTTTGATGAACAAGCTTTGCAATCGATTCTCAATTGGATTGAATTTGGTGATATCTCCATCTCGATGGATTATGTAATTAATCTGTGTAACCTAGTCGATTATTTTGGAATTCAAGATTATTCTATAGATGATTGTGTAACTTACTTTCATGATAAGTTTACCATTGAGTATCTTCCCGTTGTTTTATCTCAAGTGACTTCCTCATCTAAGTTGATCAATTCTGATGTTCTTAATGCTTTCATCTGTCGTTATTTTTCGAAAATAGCAAACTCAACTGTTTGGTTAAATTATCCTCTTGAAACAATTGAGTACATTTGTATGCTTGAACTGATGGTGCATTCAGAGATGCAAGTTTTCGATGCAATCATGAGATGGACCAATTTCAAGTTTGATTCTAGAAAATGTTACCTCGCAAGATTGTTAAAGCTGGTCCGATGGCACCATATGGAAGATAAAGACTTATCAAAAATCCAGAAAAATGAGCTGTTTGAATCCAATCCAAAGTATTATTCAGATGACAAAGGAAATTGTGACCGTAACTGCAATCGGACTGAACAGGAATATTTTGTTATGATTGAAGAATATAGATCGAAAATTACTTATATTCGTATCATAGTACTTGCCAATAATTTACAGCCGCTGCTTAATCGAATGCTCAAATTGGATGAATCGCTACCTGAACACATTATACACGATGAACATATTTCTGATATACATTATGTGCTGTCTGATTCAGGAAATAAAATCATTCGAATTGATTGGAAACATAATAAATATCGTTGGCTTGATTTCTCGGCCTACTCTAATAAACTTCTTAAATGTATTTCAATAGATTCGACTGAGTAAGTAATTGATTTCCTAAATTGTAATTTTCCACTATTCTCAATTTTCATATTCAAATGATCAATAATGATGAAGCTCAATTTATGAAATTTGTTAACGTCTTTCTCTTTTTACTTAAATATTAACTTTAAATATTTTTGCTTTGTATTTCAGCGGAGAGAGCTTCATGGTAAAAGTGCCATTCAATCAAAACTTCAAATATAGACGTACACTTCTAGAAGCTAAAGACGAGTTTATTCTGGTCAGTAAAGACGAACATTCATTCCGTTATTGGTCCAAACCAACTGCTGATAAAGTCAAGAATTCCGATCCTATTTCTGGATATTCTTACATTGCTCACAAGGAAACTGTTTTGGATAACAAAATTTATGTGTTAACAACAGATCTTGAATTTATCCAACTCGACATTGATCGAAATTGTGAGTTTAAGATGATTGGGCTGCAGATATTCAATGAAGGATTGCGTTTTAGGAATTTACAATTAACATCAAAGCAAGCTAATGATGATCGGGTCATTTTGATTGATGAAACTCAAAAGAAATTCTATTGTTTCAATGTCAACACTCAACAATGGAGTTCAATTGGACAAATAATAGAAGCGCAATCCTGCAATTTTCCTGGTGACCGAAAGAGAACAAAGCTGGAAAGTTTCACCTCAGCTTTCTTACCAGTTGACATCATCGACTTAGCTTAAAACGTAAATTAAACTCAAGCGTTCGCTTTCATGTGGAATAACCATTCATATGACGATTCATTCACGTTCAATTGCTAAAACATACTGATTGCCTCAAATGGCTGGTTTACAGCTTCTCTACTCTTTGGTCTCAGCCCTTTCTGAAAAATTTTCATTGAAAACAGTGTTTAATCAAGTCGTCTTTTACTCTCTCCTTGTTAGTTTAGTGCATAAGTTTTATTTTTTGCCCCGAATTCAAATTGTGTGTCAAATATGGGTTCATTAGAAACTGATGACCAACTTATAATAGCAAAACAGAACACCATATTAGTAAAAAACTGATTCGTAAAGTGCCTTATTTTGAAAAGCTGTTGAGCCACGATCTATTGGAATCAAAGGAAAACAAAGTTAACCTGGATTTCGACGAAAACGCTTGATGAAAGGTTGGATGATAAAATTTCGAGTAGCTGTGCTGTCCGATAATATCTTCATCCTTACAAATAAGCTTGAGTTTGGCAAGTTCAATGGTTGCCACAAACATTGGAAGAAGATTGAGCTTCCAAAATTGGATAATGGATATGAATTTAAATACGAAAGTTTGTTTTTATCTGCAAGTGTGAGTCATACTGACCAAGTTTTTTTTGATCGATGAATCCTCGAAAAAAGCCTTTTGTTTCAATATTACTAATCAAGAATGGAGTTTAATTGGTCATTTGATATTTGCGGTGTTAATGATGACAAGTCGAATCAAATTTATAGTCGAGACGAATCTAATTACTTGATCACTTTGACTCCAGATTTTCTAACAGTAGACATGATCAATACTTGCTCGAATCAAAACCTTGACTCAATTCATCAATGATTTTTTGACAAAATTATCCTGAATTGATTATTGTCCACAACAAAACAATGATAAGCACATTAAAAATAAACCAGTTCAAATTTAAAACTTGATTAACGATCAAACTAATAAAACTTATTTGTTTATTTCCATTTTATTATTTTATTCAAAGTGAATACAAATGACGGCCATTTAATGTTAAGAATGTACATAAATACGAAGATTATCGTAAGATCTGGTTTTCTGTTCGTCTAGTTCATTGATAACTAACTACTTACTAGTATTTACTGAATTTACAAGTTGAATATATAATCCATATCCATATACATGTATGTATAAATACAGTATATAAAGTCAGAACTAACAAAACTTGTCAAAATTTTTGTTTTAAAATTGTGGCTAAATTGCAAGGATACTATTCAGGGTGATGGTTTATTGTTGAAGTACAACAGAGTAATCCATTCTCTAGTTTTATACCTTTTAGTCTTCTACACTTTATGACAAATGCGAATTTTATCATATTGAGAATAATTCTTAGCTTGAATGAATTTCAATGGTGTAAATAACCAAGCTAAGAGAGAGAACAGAAATAATGACAATTGAATACTTCCTCTAGAACTATTATTAGAGATATTAAGACAAGTTTAAGGTTTATTTTCCTTTCAATCGAGTCATTGAAGATTGATTCTTGAAATTTCCATAATTCTTTATTTTTTTGAACATTTTAGTTCAATTCTGATACTCTTAATGCTTTAATCTGCTGCCATTTCTTGAAATTGACCAACTCAACTTTTTGGAGGGAATATCCAGTTGAAACAATAGAGTATCATAACGGTTGATATTGGTTCAAACCGATAATTTTAACTTTACCCTTACTCAATTTACTTGTAAACTTGTAGAATCCTTTTGGTTATTTTAACAAGTAAATGATTCAGACGATGAACCAGTCAAAAGATGTTAAGTGAAGTAAAATGAAAGCTTTCACTGATTGGCTAAAATGGCTGGCTTCGGTTTCATCAAAATTTCAGTTTGTACTGGATATTGGATAAGTTAGTCATGTTAGTGTACCATTTAAAGTCACCAACTAAAACTGTCCGCAAGTTTCTTAAACCCTTTCTTCACCTCACAAGTCTTGTCAGTTCCTCTTTTAATAAAGCTATTTGAAACTTCACTAAATGAAATTGAAAAAATCCTCATAAACTAATTCTTCAGTATCTAGCTAATTGTTCCGTTAAGTTATTTATACATTTCACCATTGAATTAAATACGTGTGTTTAATATGGATACATTAAAAAATGATGATAAACTTACAGTTATTAATAGATCATCGCAATATCTTATTAGCAAAAAACTAATTCTTAAAGTGCCTTATTTTGAAAAGATGTTGAGCCATGATTCATTGGAATCAACGGAAAGTAAAGTTGAACTGGATTTTGACGAAAAAGCGTTGAAATTAATCCTCCATCGGATTGAACACGGCTATATCTTCATCGAGATGGACTGTGTCATAAATTTGTGCACAATTGCTGACTATTTTGGGATGGATAATCATTTGATAAATGAATGTTTAACTCATTTCCATGATAATTTTTCAATTGAACATCTTCCAGTTATTATACCTCAAGTGACTTCAACATCTAAGTTGATCAACTCTGGTACTCTTAATGCTTTCATTTGCCGTTATTTCACAAAAATAGTGAACACATCTGTTTGGTTGGATTATCCTATTGAGACGATTGAATATATTTGTGCTTTGGATTTGATGATTTATTCAGAAGTAAAAGTTTTCGATTCAATCATGAAATGGGTAAAATCAAAACCTGATTCTAGAAAGTCTTATCTCAAAAATTTGTTGAAGTCTATCCGATGGTGCCATTTGGAAGATAAAGATTTGGCTAAAATTAAGGAAAATATATACGTTAAATCTTCAGACTTTGATCCAAAATTATGTTGTCGTGACAAATCTGGTTGTAATTGCAGTACTGATCGAACTAAGCAGAAATATTTTATTGCCATTGAAAAATTGGATGCTACAAACTTGCGAGTCAAAGTGCTTGACAAAAATTTTTTTCTATTGGTTAATCAAGCAATTCAATCAGATGAATCAATGCCCTTGAAACTTATCCATGATGAACATGTTTCAGATGTATTCTTTGATTCTGGAAGGAAAATGATTCGAATCGATTGGAAGCAGAAAAAATATCGTTTGCTTGAAGCTGCTACTTTTCAATCGCACTTCACCAAATGTCTTATGCTCATTTCTGACGAACAGAAAAGGCAAGTAATCGATTCCTAAATTGTTTTTTCATCAACAATCGTCATACTTCAAGTATTGTTTGAGCATTTCTTTTATTACTTGGGACTCTAATGATTAGTCATTTTGAGTTATCCAGGTAAAACGTAACACCGAATTGCATCATGCATTATTTGTATTCTTGAATAATTATTTTGAAGGTTTTTTTTCTTTGCAAATTTTAGTGAGGAACACTATGCTGTCAAGATAAATAATCCGCTCAACTCAGAACAAGCGTCTGAAAGTTCACTTCTCGAAGCAGACGACAAGTTTATTCTGGTTCGTTTCTATGGAAAGCAATTTAAATACTGGGCAATGCCAACTGATGAAAATATCAGATCTCACTTCTGGTTGAAAGGAAGGTCATGTCTGGGAACTGTTTTGGATAACAATATTTACATGTTGACAGATAGGCTTGAACTCATTCAGTTCAAGATTGACCGCAAGTGCGAGTTTGAAAGGATTGAATTTGAAAAATACAGAGAAAAATTTTACTCTGATTCATTGCTTTTAACTTCCAACCTAACAAATGATAAAGTTATTATCATTGAAAAGTCCACAAAAGAACTCTTTTGTTACAATGTTAAAACTGAAAAATGGAGTTCAATGGGTCGAATCAGTAATTGTGATAGCGGATCAGATGGTAAAACGAAATCTCATGATCTTATTGCTTTCACCTCAACATTTCTTTCGATGGACGCTATTAAGGCTTGCCTTAACATGAACTCAAATGAATGAATTGCCTATCCTCTGATAATATAATTCTGCATTGTTTAAACACACTGATCTCAGGCAATCCTGCCAGCTTCTTTAACAAAAATATGAGAAATTTTCTTTTCATAAAATTCATCTTTTTTGCAAATAAAATTCGATAAAACAGTAATAATTTTTATAACCAGTGATTTTGTTTTTTCCATTCAATTCTGTGAAGGATTTGATTAGGTTGTTATTCCGGCCATTTAGGCTTTTAGTCTACACTTGTGATCGCAGAGTTGCCCAAATCCTTGGCCAAAAGGTTGAATTTGTGTATTTAAGCAATGACTAGAAATGAGACGCAAGATTTTCGTGGTTGTGTCTATTGATTTAATTTTCATAATTTTCCACTCATCGATATAAATGTACATGTAATAGATCTAGTATACATAGGCATCGCCAAATCTTCGGACTTTAACTCAATATGCTGCTCTTATGGCAAATGTAAATGTTATTGTGACTTTAGTTGAACCACTTCTAGATGGAGTTCAATCGACCTTACGACCTTACGTTAGGATTAGTGATAGCTCTGTACTACAATCAAAACCAACGTCGTAAGCGGTTAACGTTTACTTAACGTTATGCTTCATTACAGCATTTTTTCATAATCAATACAATTCGATGCTGTTAGCTATGATTAAAGTTGCCATTTAATTTTTCCTTTCGTTGGTCGTTTCACAGATCCAACAATTTGTAAGATCTATGAGATTTAAAGTCTATTTTATTAGGAAGCTCATATTTTAGAGAATGTAAATTATTCCAAACAATTAGATTCAATAGATGGCAACGGTGACAATTGCCTTAAAGGAGAATCAAAAAATTAACTAAACCGAATGAAGGAGTCTAAATGATTTAAATTTGATTGTTATAACTATTATCAGTAAATTCGTTTGATTTACTGGCTCTCTTTCAACTACCTGACTGTTGAATATTTTATTTATTTCACTGAAATTCGATATTTTGTTTTCAATTCAATTTTGTGTTAAAATATGGATTTATTGAAGAATGATGATCAACTAACAATAGTTAATCGATCATTGGAATATCGAATTAGCAAAAAAATAATTCGTAAAGTGCCTTATTTTGAAAAGATGCTGAACCTTGGTTTAAAGGAATCAAAGGAAAACAAAGTCGTATTGGATTTTGAAACAAAGGCTTTCAAATCAATCTTCAGTTGGATTGAAATCGGATGTATCCTCATCGAGATGGATTGTGTAATAAATATTTGTATCATAGCTGACTATTTCGGGATAAGTGATTTTTTGATAGACGATTGCTTTACATATTTTCATGATAATTTTTCAATCGAGTATCTTCCGGTTATTATACCTCAAGTGACTTCAACATCTAAGTTGATCAACTCTGGTACTCTTAATGCTTTCATTTGTCGTTATTTCACAAAAATAGTGAACACACCTGTTTGGTTGAATTATCCTGTTGAAACAATTGGATATATTTGTGCTTTGGATTTGATGATTCACTCAGAATATCAAGTTTTCGACGTGATTATGAGATGGGTGACTTTCAAGGCTGAATCTAGAAAGAGTTATCTTAAGGAACTGTTAAAGTTGGTTCGTTACTGCCATTTGGAAGATAAGGATTTATCGAAAATCAAAGAAAATGAATTTTTTAAATCTTCTGGCTTTGAACCAAAATTATGCCCTTCTAATAATTGTAATTGTGGTATCGACCGAACTAAACAAGGCTATTTTATCGTAATCGATGAATTGTGTGACAAAAATTTGCGAGTCAAAGTACTTGACGGTAATTTCTTTCCATTGATTAATCAAGTAATTCAATCAGACGAATCTTTGCTTTTGCATCTTTTCCATGGTAAACATGTTTCTGATATTCCATTCGATTCTGGAAGGAAAATGATTCGAATTGATTGGGAGAAAAATAAATATCGTTTGTTTGATCATTCAGCTCTTAAATCGTATTATCTTAAAATTCATCAATGCATTTTTGATGAGCAACAAAGGTTAGTAACCGATTAAACTATTACTCAATTGATAAAATGTTAATTTGAGAAATGCACCATTTAGCAAATTAAAAAAAGTTATTGATATTTATGTTGATACATATTGTTTCCATGAAGGTGCGCCGTTTGAAACTCACGATAAGTCTAGTCTAGTTATTTTACTTCATGATACATGTAATGAATGCTTATATTAATCTTTGTTTGAAAACATTCTTTTACATTTTAGTCAGAGGACTACTGTGACGACTCAAGCAAACAACGCATCGTCATTTTACACTAATGAAAGTTCACTTCTCGAAGCTAGCGAAAAGTTCTTTCTTGTTCGTAACGATCAATACGACTTCAGATGTTGGAAGAATACATCTATTTCAGACATTAATTCTGAATTTAAATCCGGTAAACATACTTACATGGCAACTGTTTTGGACAACTTTATTTATGTGCTGACAGATAAGCTTCAATTTTTCCAGTTCAATATTGACCGCAATCTGGAGTTCACAAAGATAAGACTTGATAAGTTTCAAGATAAGTTTGCATTTGATAATTTACTTTTAACATCCATGCAAGCTGATGATGATAGAGTTATTTTTATTGATAAGACTGCAAAAGATATTGTCTGTTTCGATGTCAGCACTCAAAAATGGAAATCAATGGGTCGAATTCTTGATTGTAAAAGTAAATCAACGGATGGTCAAAAGGAATCTAATGTCCTTAAAACTTTTACCTTTGGATTTTTATCAACGGACTCGATCAACTTTTGCTTGGAACGTAAATTAACGCAATAAAATGATTTTGATTTGACACAAATCGAGTAAACTTAATTGATATTCTTGTTATTATAATATAATATAATAGTTTCATTAATTTTTAGCTGAACGTTTATTTCATTCAAAGTCTTGTCCATTGCAATTTTAAATTGATAAGATTAAATGAATTTCAATGTAGTCCAGTCAAGCTGCAGTTTCAACGAGAAAACAATTCTGTCACGATCGAAAGTCGATTCAATCTAACTAAGAATCAATCGAAAACTGATAAAAACTAGTCCCAACTTTTGTTTTCATATTTAAATTTAAAACTCATGATCCATCTCTTGGTTAAGATTTTGCAGGATAACATGATTCAACAAATAATAAAACTCAACAGTAAAGTGTCAGTTAATGTCAGTACCACATAACTTCGAGAATAAGCTTCTCACAAATTGGTTTAAGAATTCATTGTTAGCAAATTTAATTAGCCCAAAAAATTATGTTAGATGCATCATATTTACTAATGATAATACTTGGCAATCGAAAGCCAATTATCATTTTTAACAATAAAAACCATTCTAAATTCGATAGATGGCGACGGTGACAATTGCCTTGAAGGATAATCAAAAAATTAACTAAACCGAGTGAAGTTTAAATGATTTAAATTTGGTTGTTATAACTGTTGCCAAGGTTTCCACTCTTATTAAACGCTTTTCTCTGATTGGTTGGCTGCATTTGAATCTCTAGCTTCAGCAATACAGATAGCTAGAGATTCAAACGCAAAGTAAAAAAATATGAAGCTGAAGTGAGATGAAAAGCATTCACTGATTGGCTCTAATGGTCGGCTCCGGTTTCAAAAAATTTTGAGATAACATTGGCTAGTCTTGTTAGGTTAGCAAGTTTCGCAGCCTGTTTCTTCAGTTTAGACGACTTTCAGTCTCTAGTTGCTTTTCAGTTTGTTAGTCACACTATTAAGAAGTGATCTGAAGTGATCTGTTGTTTGTCCAAAAAATTGAAAATAATTTGCTAAGATAATTCTTTGTTCCTAGCTGACTAATTGTGCCAATTGTTCATTTTTCAATTGAATACGTGTGTTTAATATGGATCCATTAAAAAATGATGATAAACTTATAATAGTTAATCGATCAAAGGAACATCGAATCAGTAAAAACCTCATTCGCAAAGTGCCTTATTTTGAGAAAATGTTGAGCCATTATTCATCGAAATCAAAGGAAAACAAAGTTGTATTGGATTTTGATGAAAAGGTCTTGGAATTGATTCTCAATCGAGTTGAACACGGTTATATCTTCATGGAGATGGATTGTGTCATAAAATTGTGCACCATTGCTGACTATTTTGGGATGGACAAGTATTTGATAAATGAATGTTTCACTCATTTTCATAATAATTTTGCAATTGAACATCTTCCTGTGATCATACCTCAAGTTACTGCAACATCTAAATGTATAAATTCTGGTGCTCTCAATGCTTTCATCTGTCGCTACTTCACGAAGATAGCAAAGACGAATTTATGGTTGAATTATCCCATAGAAACAATCGAGTACATTTGTAAGCTTGACCTAATGGTTTACTCAGAAATGCAAGTTTTCGACGTGATCATGAAATGGATCAATTTCAAAGCTGATGCTAGAAAGTGTTACTTGAAGGAATTGTTGAAATCTATTCGATGGTGCTATTTGGAAGATAAAGATTTGGCTGAAATAAAGGAAAATAAGTGCATCCAATCTTCAAACTTTGAACCAAAATCATGTTTTCGTGATAAATCTGGTTGCAATTGTGTTGACCGAACAAGACAAAGTTATTTCATCGTGATTGAAAAATTCAATGATACAGACTTGCGGATCAAATTACTTGACGATAATTTTCTCCCATTGGTTAATCAAGTTATTCAATTAGATGAATCACTGTCTTTACATCTTCTCCATGATGAACATGTTTCAGATGTATTCTTTGATTCTGGAAGGAAATTGATTCGAATCGATTGGAAGCAGAAAAAATATCGTTTGCTTGAAGCTGCTACTTTTCAATCGCACTTCACCAAATGTCTTATGCTCATTTCTGACGAACAGAAAAGGCAAGTAATCTATTTCCCAAGTTAATTTGACTTTCATTAACAAAAGTCATACTTCAATTACTTTATTATTGTTATTTATTCAGGCTTCTTTATATTTCACTATACTAATGATTACACTGGTAGCTGCACTTAACGCAACAAATTGGGGTTTCAGTTAACGCAATTTTTAGGTGTCGCCATCTTTGGTATTTTATTGTTTTAGAGACTTTAATATGTAAATAATGGTCAACCTTGAAGATAATTGCATGATCTAATAGATGGCGACTATGGTAAAAATTGACCCATTTGTTGCGTTAACTGCAGCAACCAGTGTAGTCATTCGCAGTTATTCAGTCGAAAACGTATTTTCTGATCATTTCATTTTGGTTAATTATTTGATTTTTTTCTTTGTCTATTTTAGAAAGACGTACTTTAGCAAGATTGAGCCACATAAACAAGATCACGCATTTGAAAGTGCACTTCTTGAAGCTGACGACATGTTCATTCTGGTTCGTATCAATGGTAACAAATTTCAATTTCATCAGTTACCAAATGTTTTAGATATCAGATCTCTTTTCGGATTACAAGGACACTCATACCTGGCAACTATTTTGGATAACAATATTTACATGCTGACAAAAGATCTTGAGTTGATTCAGTTCAATATTGGTAGCGGTTGTGTGCGCGAAACGATTGGATTTGAAAGATTCAGAGACAAATTTCACTTCAGTTCATTGCTTTTAACTTCTAGCCGAGCCAATGATGATGAAGTATTTATCATTGACAAGTCCACAAAAGACCTCTTTTGTTACAATGTTAAAACTGAAAAATGGAGTTCAATGGGTCGAATCAGTAATTGTGATAGCGGATCAGATGGTAAAATGAAATCTGCGGATCTTATAGCTTTCACCTCAACATTTCTTTCGAAGGACGCTATTAAGGCTTGCCTCAACATGAACTCAAATGAATGAATTGCCTATCTTCTGATAATATAATTCTGCATGTTTAAACACACTGATCTCAGGCAATCCTGACAACTTTGTTAACAAAAATATGAGAAATTTTCTTTTCATAAAATTCATCTTTTTTTGCTAATAAAAATCGATAAAACAGTAATAATTTTTATAACCAGTGATTTTGTTTTTTCCATTCAATTCTGTGAAGGATTTGATTAGGTTGTTATTCCGGCCATTTAGGCTTTTAGTCTACACTTGTGGTCGCAGAGTTGACAAGCAGTCGAGGCAACTTAATTAATGCATTGAAGCTTGATGTTAATTTTTAAGCTTTTCTGACAATTAATTTCAATCCTGATAGCTATTTTTTTTGGTGTCCTGTAAACTCGCCACATTTAAGCTTTAAAACAAACAGAGAGTCAAACCCTTTTACAACTTTAAAGAAATCTCGCCACTAATTGTTACAGCTATGGCAAGTAAATTATCAATTTTGATTAAGATATTCGTGTACAAAGATCAAGCTCAAACTGAATAAATTCAATTCAATATCATTTTGGTAGCATTTGTATCGAGAATCGTTATTTAATTGAACACATTATAGCTTTTTTGTTGAATTTTTTGGCTGCCTAGCTTGCAACAGAAGTATGCTGTAGGACATT